TGTAAGCCAAAGCCTGGCAGAAAGTACATGGTCCTTGAGACTTGCGGGGCAGACGCTGCGGAAGGAGAGGAGATGCCGTGACCACCACAGTGAGACAGAGGTGGCTGAGACCTCTCCATGCCTTGCAACCTCGTGGGCATGATGGAAAGAGAGCACAAGGCACCTCTCCTTGCCGTGGTATTGATGCGGTTCAAAGCGTGGGGCCATCATTCATTGATGTCCATGTTTTCTCTGCACAATTCTTCCACTACGTGACACGTAGGCAGCACCCCCCAGGCCTGAGGAACCATTTGCTCTCATCTCCTGCCTCTGCTCCAGAAGGAGGATGGAGAAGTGACAAAGGTTGCACTAAACCCTGCAGCACCGATCCTCTTGTAGAACTCCTTTTGCAATCATTTAACATTATATTTGCAACCTAACGGGGAAAGTCCTTGCTCTGCACAGAAATGCTCAGCCCCACTCGGGGTTCTGTTCGGAGATTCTGCTTTGCCTTGTGGCTACAACGTCACATGAAGGTGCAAACGTGCCAACCTGGACCACAGTCATGTTTGTTTTCTTGCCTTGTTGTTGTGACTCGGTCATAGTGTCCTAGAGTCGTAGTTGGGAGAAAAGAAATTTTTAGTCCTTGTTCTCCAGACTTGTTGATGGGATTTCACTTGGCCACAAATAAACATCTCAGCTGGATCCCATCAGCTCCTAAAGACTGAACACAAAGCGACTCCTCCAGAACTGTGAAGCAGGGCAAGACCCTTTGATGTCTTGATCCTGCACCAGCGGAGCGCTGCAAATGCTGCAAGGAGGGAATATGGTCCCCAGCCCTGATGCTGACCCCCCCTCCCTGGAGGCCAAGGGAACAGACAGTCTGTCTGTGCCCAGTACCTCAGGCGAAAGACAAAGTTTGGGCAGTGCAACATCGTTCAACCCTGGCTCAGCAAAGCAGCAGCTACAGCCACCCTTTACTGGGATTATTTTATCAACTCACAGGCCGGATGATTTTGAATATGGTCTGAAACTAATGCCAGGCACCCAGCACACAGGTGCCCATGGAAAGAGGGACAAGCCCCTGCAGTAGAACAGGCTGCTTGCTAAAAACCTCCTGCCCGGGGAGCAGCTCACTGCCAGCCCCGCAGACCGGGGAGTCGAGGGGGCAGCGAAGGGACAGAGCACGGAGGAGAGCACAGAGCCGTGGTGGGTGTTCCTAGCACTGCTCACAGCTACCGACCTCAGCAGCATCTTGAATTCACCCTTAAACCTTGAGCGAGGGCTTCAGCACCGAGAGGGATTACAACAGGCTCTTGGCGTTGCAGAACTGCTGCACTTTTCTCTGCGGTGTCTTGTCAATCTGAGCTCCTCCGCAGCCGAGCTTTGGGTCCAGCAGAGCCGTGAGACACTCTCTGCCTGGGACGGTGGGTTGCTGCAGCCAGGATGGAGGAACAGAAACATTAAGCGCCAAATCTTGAGGGCACAGACACAGCTGGTTGCTGGAGACCCTCCAGAGACGGTGCCAGGGTAGAGCTGGCAGCATGGTTGTGTCTTTGTAAGGTGCCGCTGGGAGCAGAGAGAAAATATATAACCCATAAAACCTAATACCTATGTGGAGAAAAATAGACATGGTAGTGCCACTGACTTAGTCCCCATTCAGAGGACTGCCTGAGAAGAGTAGATTATTTTAATTTTATGGACCATTTTTCTGCTGTGTGTACAGCTCCTGGCACCACAGTCCTGAATGATCCCCTGGTAACACCAGCACCGTCAGCGTTACTGTTTGTATTGTCACCGTAGCATAAATAACTGTAAAAATTAATTTTAAATTCCCAGTAATTATCACCTCAAGTAGCTCTGACCTGGAGCTTTCCAGCAGAAAACCTGGTTAAGGTGTATTTCTGCCTCCTCGCCCTATCAGGGACTCGTACAAGACCCAAAGACTTGGGTAGAAATGTTCTCTCACACCAAAAATGTTAGGCCGTGGCAGAGTTAAGCCACTCATGGCATAAGAAGCGCCTGCTCTTGCTCCTGTGCCAATCCTAGAGCTTTGCACTGCTGGGAAAAACATGGGCATCACCAGCAGTGCCGGGGAGCCGCTGGCCGTGCGGGCTGTTGGCCCCGGAGCTGCCGGAGGAGAAGCTGGGACACCCAGCACCCAGCGCCAGGGGACCCCATTCGACACGCCTGGTAGTGGGTACAACTGTGCAACGCTCCTCCTGAGGGATGGGGAGCCCTGACGCTGCTCCGAGGCACGGACAGAGCGGCCAAGGGCCAGGGGGCCGAGCAGCCCAAAGGCCCAAAGCAGAGACCGAGTTGCACTCAAAGGTAAAAGAAGTTTCGCAGCGCTTGGGCCTGCTCTGCTGCAAAGCGTGTTTAAAGCATCGGATATTTGAGGAGGCTGGGATGGGAATGGGAAAAGCAGACATGGCAAAAAAAGCTCATTTTCCCTCTGGAAGCTGAGGCACAGTGGAGACGAAGCCGCGGTAGTTTCACGCCCCATTGCCTGGGTGTCTCCATCCTCCCTCGGTGGGAGCCCCAAAGGCGCAGCGTGCGGATCGCCGCAAAGCGTCCCCCGAGCGCGGGGCGTTTGGCTCGTCTGCAGCAACGTGGACAAGGCTGGCAGCTGTCCCGGCAGCGATGGCACGGTGCTGTCCACGGAGAAGGCTCACAGCAAGCTCAGGCTATCAGCCCAGGAGCTCCAGAGCCAACGGAGCAGCCTTTATACTCATCATAACCCTCTCTATGCTTGCCTATGCCAGGACCAGCAAACACCATTCTGTGTCCGGGAGCGTTTTAAGGGGTTAGAACACAAGACTGAAATGAGTTGTGTCACTCGAGTCCAGGGCTATTTCTGCCTTCCCACCTGAAGATTAATGGACTTTGGGGCCAGGAGGCCACAACAGTCTCCTCTACAGAACATCCCGTTGGGTCAGCTCTCCTGGCCCCCCTGCACCAGGCGTGTTCCCACCCTGTCAGCAGGTAATGAGCAAAACCGACCGCAGGGCCCGTCCTCAGGGGTTAAACCAACAAACACAACTGCAAGCGGCTTCACAAAACGTTTTTTTATGGCAGCGTCTTGATCTGGTTCCCACCCCTAGCCCCCCTCGCCCTGCACCACCTCAAGCCACTTCATTGCAAGCCACCCTTCTGGGTAGAAACTTCTCTCTTCTGAGCAAATAAGACCAGGCGGTGAATACAGAATTGTTGTTATTGAAGAGAAAAATCGGTTCAGCTTTTTTGCTAGTTTTTGGTTGGTTTTTTTTTCGAATGTGGCAGCAAGGCTGCTGGAGGTTATGGGAGTTCAGCCCCCGAGCGGGGTGGCAGCTTTCCAGCCCCTTGTCTCGCTGCCCTCCAGCTCACGGGGCTGAGCCCAGGCGGTGTGAAACACAACGGGGTGTTGTCAGGGCAGCCCCGAAGGAGCTCACACACTTCATAACTCCAGCCTTAAATCACACACAGCATCAAGTTGGCGGCTGAGGAAATAATAGAAAAAGAAGCATCACGACAGGGTTCGAGCAGCGGAACATTTTGCAATTAACTTTTGCACAGACCCGTGCATGGGCAGGCACAGGCACACGGGCAAGACTCGTCCCCTCGTCTCTGCCACCCGCTCCCCCTCAGCAAGGACCGTCTTCCTCGTGCCTTCAGCGTGGTGACACAGTTTGTCACCCTCTGGGACTTCCCACTGATGTGTGGGGCGTGAGAGGCTGCGGTGGGGCTGGGCACACTGGGTTTGGACAATGCCAGCCCTGAGTGCCTGCTCGAACCCTGGCGTCATCCTCAGACGAGGTCTAGGACATTCGTGTCTCCTCATCCCCTGCCGCCCTAGATCCCAGGCACCATCCGAAAACATGACGCGGTGGAGAGGATCTCCCGTGCTGAAGCAGGCAGCAGCCATCTGCACCCTTCCAGAGCAATGGGAAGGTTTCTGGGGGGGATTCAGGCAAATAAACCCCATCTCAGCAGCAAATCTCCCTGCATACCCGGAGCATCAACTTGACACAGCCTGTTGGTGCTGAAGAGCTCTGAAAAGTGTCAGGAGAGTTAATCCTTGGGTCACTCTGGACGATGACAGTCTGGATGATTGCAGATGACTCTGTCTCTCTGGGGAAGAAGCAGACCCAGACCCAAAGGGACTCGCTGCTCTCTGAAGTCCAGAAATGGGAAGAGGAACAGAGAGGAGCAGGGGAAGGGTCTTCACATGGGCTGAGAGCTGCCAGGGCCGAGTCCTGAGAAGGATCTGGATATTCACCTTCCAGCACCTCAGGCCCGTCCTCACGAGCCCTGCACAGAGACGTTCATGCCCAGAGCGGCCAGAGGGGGTGAGCTCCTGCTGCAGCAGGAGGGTGAAACCTGTGGGATCCTTCTGCCCTGTCCCCTTCCGCAGCCATCCACCCCCTCTCCAGTCACCCGCCTCCCAGTGGGCGTATTTTGGATGTCCGGGTTTGTAAATGAAGCAGCCATCCACCTCTCTGTGAGTGACTCACCAGGAAAATGCTGAAGGTTGTCTCCTCAAAGCCACGGAGAGCAGGAGCTTCCCAGGGCTCCTCGCCCACCCGTGTGCCTCCTCCCGCCTCACGGGATGCTCCAGATCACAGAGCAGCCTTGGGAGTTGCCACACGCGGTCTCCCAGCTCACGGGACAAGGCGCGTGACCCCCCAGCCCGTGAAGCCCGCACGGTGCCAGGGACTGGGGGGGCGCCCACAGAGCGCCGGGGAGCACACACGGCTGGGCCGCGTCACGGTTCCACAGTGCGGCGTCTCGGGTGCCAAGTGCGAGCGGCAGGGGTACGAGCAGCCGCGTTACCTAGGAGGACTGCAACCCCCCCTCCCACCTCTGCCCTCCTCTCTCCACACTCTGTTCTCTCCTCCTGCTTCTGCTCCTTTGCCACAGGAGCAGAGAGAAACTGCCGTTTCCCCATCCTGTTCCTTCCAGCTGTATTTTTGCGTTCACCACACCAAAGAGGGACGGTGCCATAATTCCATCAACACAATAAAACACACCAGGAAGCGGAAGGTTTCAGAGCATTTCATTTGTAACCACAGAGCATTTTGCATTATCGTATATAAGGCATAGACAGGTGATACATATGTCTTACAGCCATTTCCAACCCCTGAATAACAGGGAGCCACGGGGAATATTTTATACAGGTCCTACCTCCTGGCTGGCTTTGGTGGAGAGACATAATCGAGCTACGAGGGCCCACGGTCAGGCGCAGAGATGGACGTGGCTGCTCCAGCAGCAATGCAGATGGGATTGAATCGGTGTTTTCAGACACTCAGACTTGCTTTTACCCACCACAGAGTCTTCTTGGCATGAAAATTGGCCCTGCAGCCTGGACAGGATGGCATGCAGGGCTGCAACCCTTCACCTCTCCTTACACAGCTGGACGCCCTGGGTCCTGCTCTCCCATCACTGATGACCCACTGTGGCTTGTCAGGGAAGAGCTGCTGGTAAGTGCTGGGGAATAAAATATGGTTTCTCACTGGGAGAGGCTCTGGAGGGGTAACACACAGCTGTGTTTTGGTAGAGTTGCTTGTCTCTGCTGATCGTTGTGATAGGAAAGGTGATGGGCACCCAGTGTTCTGCCTTCAGGCGTGGGGCACTCATCTCTTTGGGGCTCTTGGCACCAAGATTTTGTTCCTGAAATAGGTAGGGGTCCCAGGACAATAATGCCAAGGTGAGAAATTTCACAGTCTCTGCAAACCAAAGCAAGGAATTGAAATAACGGGCCTGATTTCCCACGGTGGGGAGGAGAGCGAGGCAATGCCAGCCCTCGGCAAGACAAGCAGACACCCCCCGGGCAGAGCTGGGTCACGGGGAAGAGGTGCAAGGACCAACCACCCCACCATTCTCATAAAATATAAACCCCAAAACTCATTAAGATGCAAACACAAGCAACTTTCATCCTCAGCTCATCAGATCCTGAGGGAGAAAGCATTGCGGAAAATGTGACCAAGACCCGGTACTTTGATAGTGGCTAATAAAAGGGGGTGTGGAGGCGAAACGGGGTTGGGAGGCTCCGAGGGAAAAACTGAACAAATGCAAAAATGAAGCATTTAACTGGGCCGGTAAAATGAAACCCCCACCCTGGGGCGTGCAAGCCCAGAGGCGACTTCACCACTCAAGCTTTCGGGAGAGGGCTGGTGGATGGGCCAAGCCTCAGGGGCAAGGACGGGTTTTTACAGCTGCACGTTCTCCTCGTCAAAGGCACCGTCCTCACACGTGGCAGCGAGCGAGCTCCCCTGCACGATCCGGGTGCTGTTACAGCACTGAATAACAAGGGATTTAGTGCTCAACGCATTACATCCCGATCCAGCAAAGCAATTAGGTGTGGGCTTTTAGTCCCTGCCTTCTGCTAAGCACAGGCTTAAGTGCCTTGCTGGAGCAGGGCAGGAGCTTACATGAGCACAGTTTGTCCTGAGGAACTCCTCTCCCCCGGGATCACTTTTCACTGCTACTTGCTCGCACATGTCACGCTGAGCAGCAGCAGCTCCAGGGGACAAATAAAACCAAGGACGACAAGGGCAGGGGGGGAAGATCCCTTTGTCATCAGAGGGACGGTAGCAGAAGCCAGGCGGTGCGGAGCAGCACGACGGCTCTCGCAAAGGGATGTTTGTTTTCATGCCTGATGCTCCTTGTTCTGGGAGGTGGTTCCTTGCAGGATGAGTGGAGGCAGGATGAAAATCTGAGGCTAATGCTGTTTTGATGAGCATCCTCGCATGGCCTGAGCCAGCGCTACAAAACACTAGAAATCCCCTTGGTCCACACTGCTCCGTCCGACTGCAGCAGCAGCGAGACAGATGGACAGGAGGAGGGAACAGAAAACAGCAGAAAATGTCCCAAGAATGTCATCCCAGCCCTGTCACAGCTGCCATTCGCTCTGTGGGAGGCTGAGCGAGACCTGCAGGGTATGTCTCATAGTAATTTGTTTGCAAAGCAGAAAACAAACAAGCCTGCTTCCAAAGGTGCAGGTTGCCTGCCTCATTAGCGCCCAGCAGCCCCGGGTTTGCGGCTTACACTGCAGTCTGGTGTGTGCTGTGTGGCTTAAGGATGGTTGGGAGCGCAGGAGAAAAAAAAAAAAAAGACTAACACATTCACAGAACTGTGGCTGCAGGGGTTGCATAGAGCAGGCGAGGAGAAAAGCAAAGTCCACATGCAGTGCTGTGCTCCTGGGATTGCTCTCAGGGTAGGACTCAGCCCGGCTCCTCTTTCTGCTGCTACAGCCCTAGGCTTGAAGGGAGGCACGTGGGACTGGAGAGGTGAAAAAGCAGCTCGGAGGGAAAACAAAATCCAAACAAGCAAGAGCCAGACTGTGCAGTCCTTCGTGAGCGCAAAACTCAACGGGAGTTTTGATCTTAGCAATTATCACCGACTCCTGCCCAGGTTTTGCACCTCAGCCTTTTCCCTGGGTCCTGTATCTTGTGGGTTTCTCCCTCTTTGGGAACGTGTCAGCCCAGGGTGTCGGGCTGTGCAGCACACGTCCCCCGCAGTGGGCTTTATACATGTAGAAGCCAGGTAATGCCCATTGCACAGCAAGGGAAAACCGGGGCTTGTTCAGAGCGCAAAGAAAACGGTGCTCAGAACCCCAGAGACTTTGGCTTGCACGTGTGGCCTGCGCCAGCAGCCCGCAACGCCTCTGCTAAGGTCTGCAGTATCTTTGTCCACTCACAGACATGTATGACAAGGTCCTTTCCTCCCCCACCCTCTGCAGTTGCGCACTGGGAGTCGAGCTTTACAATCAGAGCAGCTTAACAAAAAAAACAAACAAAAAAAAAAAGGGACAGACAAAGAAGTAAAATAAGAAACATTTCAGAGTAGGTATTGTTTATGTGCTGTGCTTCCAAGGCGAGTGCTGGAGGTGGGATTCTGCATCCTGCACCAGGGTAAGTTGTATCTTCATCCTGGCAGCAGCCTAGGCCTGGGTGAGGCGGTTCCTTCTCCATCTCCAACCGATGTGATCCAGAGCCACAGCTTCTCTCCAAAACCCCCAGGCAGGCACCGGACCTTGCAGGTGTTTTCCAGCACAGCTTCAGTTGAAAGGTTTCACCAGTTTCATAGCAGCATAGTTCTAGAAGGATGGAAAAACAAGGGGAGAAAAAAAAAATAAAAGCCGTTTTGAAGCAGGTACAGCAGGGTAGCACATGGACGTTAAAAGATTGGGGCGGGGGGCATGGCATAGAACTGCAGGTGGGGCTGGAATCCAGACAGGCTCCCCAGCCTGCAGAGACGAGCAAGCAAAAGGTGTGTTCCCACTAGCAAGGGCAGTAGAAAGCCCAAGACACGTGAGAAAACTGGTCTTGCCTTCTCCGGTAGAATCACAAGCCCCAAGCAGAGTCGCTCCTGGACTTTGCTCCTTCCACCAGTTTTTAAAATAAATTTTCACCTCTTCGTACCCTTCTAAAAAATTTGGCACCATCCCAGTGCCCAGACGCTTTTCTTGCAGGGGGGGAGACACGTCCAGCCCTTTGCTGAGTTGCTGCAGCCTCCTGGTGCCCCTTCCCCTTACGCTGCTCCCCCGCAGACCCTGAGCTGGATTCTCTACCCAGGCCCTGACCTCGCATCCTTATGGCTCCTTCTCCCCATGACCCCCCCAGAACTCATCCTCTCTGTTGTTGGGCTGGACCCTTTGGGAAGGGGCCCTGGCCCCGGTCTCTGCGCATCCCCCAAGCCATGCCATGAAGTTTTTTCTGGTGATGGCTGCTTTGCATGGGCCAAAACCTGCCCCCAAGGTCCCACCAGCAACCAGCTGGGCTGAACAGCAAGAGGACGGTTCTCAAGCCTTGGCCCGCCCCAATTGAGTCCCTTAGTACAAGCCTGGCCTGCAGGTCCATGGACTATCCCCAAAGGACCTGCCAAAAGGAAACCAAGAAAGGCAAACCCATTGTTGATTTTCGCTTCTCTGCCTTAACACCTCAGCCATCCGTTTCAGCATCACCATTTGCTGTGGGGTTTGTTCCTCAGAGCAAACACCCCAGGCAAGACCTCCCCGTGCCTGTTTTCTGGGGTCTCTGCTGTTAGTGCACGGTGAAGTGTGAGGCTGCCGTAGAAAATGAGGCATCACAGTATTTTAGCCTATTTTCCGTGCACGTTCCCTCCTTGAAAGAACATGACAGCACTGTGAAAAAGAATAAGCTGTGTAAAGGCTGCTTATCAAGACCACAAGGAAATTACAGACGAAGACGCACGCTGAGGTCGTTTGGAAAGAGCTATATTTAAAGTAGCTCTGATTCAAACCCCTGCAACCACATACTAGCCAGTTTGGAAGTCCCTCCCAAGCATATTGAATTTAATTGGTACAGGATGTTCTATCACTCTGTCACTTTAAAAAAAAAAAAAAAAAACACTTTGGAAACAAAGCATAGTGCTGGTTACCAGTGAGATCTTTGGAGGAACAGGGGAAAAAAAATAAAATTAAAAAAAAAAAAACCACCAAAACACACAACAAAAGTAAAGTCTGACCAAAGGCATCTTGATAAATTACAACGTGTAGCAAATTATAAGGCAGTTCGCCAACCGAGGATTTCTAATAATGCCATAAATCAAACACGCAAAGTTAGGGCAGTTTACCAGAAGTCATTAGAAAAGCCTCCAGTGACATATAACCTTCGAATTCATTATCCATCCATTCGTCTTTCAGAGTCTATCCTCCAAAACTGTCCTTTTTTTTTTTTTTTTTTTTTTTTTTTTTTTTTTTTTTTTTTATTTGACTGGTTGCATTCTGGAGGGTAGCGAGTTTTCTGTCCAGCTATGAATTCGTATTAACAAAGTGTTGAAAGCCGAGCAGGATTATCAATCAGCGCAGAAAGGGCGCTGTAATTAGAATTAATGGCAGTGGCAGCAACGCTGGGCTTGCAGAGCACAAACAGAGCTCGAAAAGGTAGTAAACATTTTCATGGTGCTGCAAAGCAGAGCTGACTCCAGCTGGAAGTGGCCTTCACATTTTGCTGTGGTGGTCGCCACTAAAATCTTTACAGTAATCACTGCTGCAGGGAGATAACCTCACCGCCGTGTTCCCTACGCGGCACGGGGGCAGAAACCCCGGGCTGGGCTTTGATAACCTTCTCTTCTGACCTTGTGTCTAACCCAAGACTTTTTCCCTCAGCCGTTCCGGTGGCAGAAGGCAGAGCTCTTCTCAGCTGTGGCAATGTCGGATGAAAAGTCCATCAAAACCACGGGACCTTTCCTAAAGGAGCGCTGCTGGCCGGGAGCACAGGGTGGAACTAGAGCACATCTTGTAGAAAGACATTCAATCCCGATGCACGGGCGCCTCGAGCAGCGATGAATTTACCGCGACCTCTGGCAATTTGTTCCAATGGTTAATTGCCCTTCGTCTCAAAAAATTAGCATCCTACTTCCCCTGGAATAGTTCCTCTAACTTCAACGTCCAGCTACTGGATCTCATTAGCCTTTCATCTGTTGGTTAAGGAGTCTTCTGATGTCAAGTTAAATCTAAGGACCATCTAAGGAAATCATGTAGGAAATATCCAGGGAATGCTGTTCCCAGAGCCCTAGCTTGTACAGACCATAATGACAACCCCTCTGCAAAGAAAGCTAAGGCAAACCAGTGAGTAATCTAACACTAAGACTGGGGGGAAGAGCCCAAGTTTAAAAAACGAGGAACCTCAGAATATCAGATTTTCAACATTTTTTCCCATTTTTGTAAAACTAGACAACTCTTTTCAAATGGAAATTTGCAATACCATGCAGTTTTCCACCCAAACCCCAAAGATTTTTCAGTTGGAAATGGCCTCTCCCCCACTGAAATGAGTTGCTCTGTAAACAGTTGCACGAATGGCAACGGATTTCTTAGGGACTCATGCCTCAATTTTCCCCGCTGCTGCAGTCCCAGCTCCCCTCGGATCCTGATGAACCTGCTCTTCATCCCAAACCACTTCCAGGCCCTTCCTCCCTCCTGCAGGTCTCCCCCCGCTCCTTCCAGGGACCCCTGAGCCCACCAGGGCAGCCCCAGCATGTTCCCCGGCTGGAAAACAACGGCTGGTTGCACAAAACTCTCCTGGGAAAGAACCTTTGAAGAGGAGCCGAGAGGAGGGATGGGAATATTTTTATCCCAGCCCATGATCCATCACACATACTCTGTGTCCTGAGGAGGGAGGCAGCACAAAGGCACCACGTCTTCAAAGGTTTCTGATGCTGTGAAGGAGCTCTAAAGGCTGGTTTGCAGAGTATTCTGCAATATAACCTTTAGAAAATACTTCCCGGGGGTGTAAAGCATCTCCTGATGGCTATTCTGAACAAGACCAAGACATCAGCTGCTTCGTTCACCAAAAACCCTGCGCTTTTGGGAACTGCTGTTTCGGGGCAGTGCTGCTGGGGACCACCGGCGGCCCTTCGCCGTTGCGGGTGGAAGCAAACGGCTTTCGCATGGGACATTTGCTCTTACTCTCTAGCTACTCTGACCACAAAGCTGGGACTGTGGGTGGAAGCTTTCGGCACTGTATGGGGAGTAGGAAGAATTTTTTTTTTTTTTTAATCCCATTTTCACACCAAGAGCCAACGCAAATGCCCTGGTTTTGCCATCAGGGGAGGTTCCTGCCTGTCTGGGGTGGAGGGTGACCTGCCCAGGTTAGCCTGCCTCACGGGACCATTACATTTCCCAGGGAGTTCTGTGGGCAGACGTGTCCTGGGTACAAGATACATCATCCTTCAGTGACCTCAGGCAGAGTCCAAACAGGACAAAATTTGGACCCAGAGTTCAGACTTCTCTGGCAGCATCTGGTCTGTGGTACACAACGCTCCCAGGTGGAGAGGCTGTGTGCAGGCAGGGGCATTCAGACTGCAGGCTGGGGCATTAAATCTGCAGGCAGGGGCATTCAGACTGCAGGGAGGAAATTCAGGCTGCAGGCAGGTCCCAGGGCTCCTGTGGAACCAAGGACTAGCCACTGAAAAGCAGTGACTGGGGGGACCCTGGAGGTCCCAGCAGAGAGTCCCAACAAGCAGAAAGCTGTGGAAGAGCTCTTCATGCCAGGCCAAAAGGGCAGCAGGAGCAGGAAAACAGTCACGTCCCTCCGCAGCACCCCCAGCATCCCTGCGTCCCTGCTCAGACTGACGCTCCACATGCCAACCAGGATTCCCTCGGGGTTTCCCTGCCGTCCCCCCACCCCTCTGCCCGGGATGAGGGGGCAGGACACACACCAAACCCCCCTGCTCGCAGCACGGGACCTCGAAACTGCACATGTAGTGGCAAGATTGCAATACACAGCGCTAAACGCAGCGAGGTCCTGATTTTAAACAGGCCCTGATGGTGCTCCTGGCACACAAATCAGAACAGAAGTGAGGAGGGATTGTTTTTCCACGCATTTAATCAGGGAGGTAATGGTGAGCCCCGCCAAGGGTCAGGATGCCAGGGGCATCCTTCATAGCAAACCATCACCAGCACAGTTGCCAAATTCAGGGCCTGATGAAACGGGAGAGGAACTAAATCTCCAAGTAGATACAGAACCAGCGACCTCAAAAATCTGATGGAAGCTGGCCAAATACACAAAAACAGACAAATTCCATGAAACATGGCCTTACTTTTTCGAAATATGACTAAAAATTGACCCGACCAAAATGAAATTAAATACAACAACATTTAGCTAGGAAACAGGGAAAAATCCCAAGTAATAATGAGTGTAAATCAATATTTATAGTTTGCGAATTTTTTTCTCCTCTCGACATTGTTTTTATATGATACCGCTGGCACGAATGCAAAGCCACTTGCATCTTCAGGGAAACACTGAGTTCTTGGTCAGAAAGGCTGGGATCCTGGTGCTTGACATAAAGGGGGGTCTCCAGGAGTGGCTCTGAGCAGAGGGCAGGGAGGGGGCAGTGCAGTACTAATCTGCGTTTGCACAATTATTTCCTCCTTCACCACTGCTTAGCACCTCCGGAGCTGTTTCTCCAGCAAGGCAAAGTATCCCAGCCCTTCCCATGGATACCAAGATAGAAAGATGGGGAGAGCCCTGAACCAATCCCATCCCATTTTTTTCTCGACGGGAACAGCCGAGCATGCACGACTTCAAATCATCTGAAAGCGATTACGACGGTGAGGAGAAATTCCACACCTCACTTTTCGGTTGCGCATTGCAGGCACACAAAGCCATCTGCAAAAGGCAGCCACGTTCTCTCACATGAAGTTATAAATTACCCCAATGAGTTCTTTTATTTAAAAAAAAAAAAAAAAAAAAAAAAAAAAAAAAAAAAAAAGAAAAATTCATATACAAGGAGCAGAATTTGTTAAGTGCTGGAAAGAGAGAGGCGGGTCATTTTTCTTATCAGTTTGAGAGGAGGGGAAATGGCATCCAAGAGCCAGCATGAATTATTCCACTGCTGTAGAAACAGAGGAGGATATAAAAACCCATCCGAAGCCAAACTGGAAGGCCAGGGCTCCGTTATTTATTTATTTTGTTTTGCCAGTGGAACTGACAGTAAGGCAAGAAAAAGCCACTTTCTGATGAATGAGGTGAAAGCCGTCCTCCTCGTTTCATTGGTATAACACGCTCCAAGCCTTGATAACAAGAGTCGGGGCTGCCCGGACGCCTGTGAACCCCCTGCACCTTTAAACAATTCCAGACCGATGAATTTTTTGCCGCTGCTCAGCCCTGTAAAATGGCCTCAACTCTAGTTAGGCGGCGTGTTTGTCGGGGATTTTCCCACCAAGCCCACACCGCCTCGGGCATCAGCTGCTCGAACCTCTTTGGAAATGACCAATCAGCCTCAGCGTCACTAGACACGAATTGAAACACAGGCACAAGGAGCTGAGCACCTTGCAGTGAGCCCGTAGCAGAGACCAGACTCTCTTTTTGCCCCATCACGGCCCACTGGGTTGTTCCTCAGCACGGGGCATGGCAGCCACGTACACTGGGACCATCTCCGTCACCACAGAGACCAGGGGAACACCCAAGACCTTGGTCAGCCCCCCCCGTCCTCTCCCACACCCACCGTACCGGGAAGGCGTAGATGAAGATCCCCAGGAAGAGCAGCAAAACGAAGAGCACGATGGCCAGGACAAGCACCCACTTGTACCGCCGCCACAAGATGTACTTCAGGGTCTTGTACGGGGAGGTGAACCATAGAAAGGAGGTTTCCGGGCGCCTGGAGCCAAACAAAGTTGAGGTCACTTCTGAGTTTCACCCGCCCGGATCCCCAACGCCACGAGCACGCCCTGCTGTAACGCGCTGGCTGCTGACCCTGCAGACACACAGCCCTCGGGGTAGACCGTGTCAAATGGTGCTCCAGACCACCCTGGGTTGTCTCAGCTCCTACACTCTGAGAACCAGCAGTTCAGAAACGGAGCCTGCACAGGACCAAGCCCGTTGCAGAGAACAGACCTCAAACTGGGACCCCAGTTAGCTCCTTGAGAAATCTGTGCCCCGGGGGTTACTTTGCCATTCAAGATGCTCTTACTTGGGGTCCTCCAGCCTGGGGTTCATGTTTGGCTCATCCCGACCCAGGCCAGCTGGCCGCTCTTCATGCTCTTGTTCGGGCACGATTTCCAAAGTCATTTCCAATTTGCCCTGTGTGAGTTAAACAAAAACAAACTTGTAAACAGAAAAAAAAAAAAAAAAAAAAAAAAAAAAAAAAAAAAA